GTTTGGCTAAAAAATAATACAAGTCTAAATCCACAACTTACGAGATGGGCACTAGTATTACAACCCTATAATTACACTGTCATTCATCGAAGTGGTAGAAACCATACAAATGTAGACCCATTAAGTCGTACCCATTAAGCCTGATTAATAATTTATTTCTCTATACAAATAAAAAATATTTTGTTCTTTCCTCTCTTCCTTACTGGATATTATTATATTATATGTAGTATTTCAATTATCTATTGTGTTGATATTCTGTTGTTTGGAAAAAAAAATTGTAAACTTTAATTTATAAAAATATAAATTAATGTTTATCTGGAGGGGGAAGAGGTTGTAATATTTTGTTATTTAACAAATAACTATATTATATATAAGTGGAATGTCACATTTGTATGATGTAACCGTTGCTCAGCAATGTAAGAAATTGTTTAAAATGAGAATTCTGAAGTTTTACCAGCTAGCAGATGCATGAAAAATTTGTAACTAAAAGACTGTATTCAAATTATCTATCTCCATAAACTAAAAATTTATATTTTGCTGAGAAGATTATCTGTTATTTTGTCAATGACTGCAAAATGCATTACAACACACACATAAATGCACATACATGCATATCCACATACATTTTTTAATCTAGTCCTGATAACAGAAAAGTATTGATATTTACAGATGATTAATCTACATAGCAGAAATCTGTGAATATTAAAATGCCTTTCTTTTTATTTTACCTAAGCACTGTATTAGTTACAAATATATTATATATATATATAAACTAAAAATCTATATGACATATAATTAATCAGTACAACTAATAAGAATAATATTTAAAGAAATCAATATTTTCTGATATCTGTAGCCCCATTAAAATATAGTGAAATTGTTGATGCTTTTGGGGAGAAATATCTGTTTGGACATTTTTTAATTTATTTCAATGATACATCCAGTGCCATCTATTTTTTTACATTCTTCTTTTCCCATACAAGACATGTACACTTAAAAGTTTTTTTTAAGCTGCTGTTCTCCTCATATACACTAAAGTACACATATTTTCCCTTAAAAAAAAAAAAAAAAAAAAAAAAAAAAAAAGATAGATAATTGAAATTTAGCATCATGCACTACATTTGTCCAAAATCCTAACATGAAAAGGAAAAAAAGAAGTCCTCATGCTTTTACATGAAAAAGATGTCGCCCAGATGGTACAGTAGTTAGGGGAGCCTCCTACGGTACTGAAAGGCCAGGGTTCGAATACTGAAGAAGACATGGACGTTTGTAAATGTATACTGTCGATACGGCATGGCGGCACTCTAAATACATGGTGAGTTGAAAGTCCTCTTATGTGGATTAGTGAAAGTCGAGAGGGGTCAGAGACCTCCGGATCCCAGGGTGCTCTCCATGAAAATTGAGGTTGGAAAGTAGAAGTCCAACCTCTCTTTGGAGTAGGCTCTGGCAACCATTGTTCCATGTAATATGGACACAACAACATGAAAAAGATACATCTGAGATTTTGCCAAAAATGTTCTACTGTTATGCTAAATTTTTTTAGACTAAAGAACCTTTCCTCTCCCTGCCCAGAAATTATTAAATATAAGTGAAAAGAATCAAATTTTGCTGAAAGTATTTAATTCACTTTATTAAAATCATGGAAATACTTGACACCAAAACACTTGAATTCTCACTATTCAACACTGCAGCAAATTATAAATATCACACTAAGATAATTTTAAAAAGGAAAAATTCGCAATGAGAATTGGTGTAATGCAAATAAAATATGCAGTTTTACAGTTTTGAAGGTCTGGAATATTTTCTTCAACTTTAAGATCGAGAATTTTCACCACTGCAGATTAAGTAAAAAGTTCTATCATATATTATAAAACTACAATACTGCCCCTTATATTATGGCTCTTGAAGAAGGTTACCAGATTTCCAGGATTAGCCGTGACCATCCAAGATTTATACCTTTTTCCTGTATTTAGTACTTGTCTCCTACATCAGGCTTGGAGAGATTATTGATTTGTAAATGTTTTTGCATCAGCAAGAAACAAATGTTTATGGTTAACAATCTTTGCATATGCATTTCTTCTATCAGTGCTTTTTTAAAACTTAATGATCTTTCGTAGGTGCTTGTAGTTCATGTAAGTTTGATCTCTTAATGAAAATTTTCACTTTTAAAATACAGCAGTTTAACGGTTTTTGTATGTGTACATAATTCACAATTGTTCAGCTGATGACACTTTTTACTTTTAAATTATAGCAGTTTTGCATTGCAAATATTTATCATGCTTATTATTTTCATTTTGCCATTAACTGAAAAGGAACCTATGGTTTTTTAAAAAGAAAAGGATATTTTACCAAAAGAAAAAAATTGTTAAAATGGAATTAATATGCATTTATATGTTCAAAAAATATTATTAGACTATGCAATCTCAGCAATTGTAAAAGCAACGCCGTGCTTAGACTTGTTTTAAAGGATCACAATTATCCTTTCTCATTGCACTGCATTTTATGTATTGTAGCAGTGAGGAACTCGCTTCAGTTTGGTGATGTAATAAGCAATTAACATGAGAAACACATAAGAAAAGGAGCAGTTGTCGACTGCAGTAATTTATGGGGTAAGTCTGCTCAGAATTTCCGACAAACATTCAGACAAGAAAATATAAGGAATCGATAAATTATGGAAATTGATGAAATCCTCTTTGTAAAGCAAAAGAATAATGCTGGCAAAGTACTGCCATAACAGTGGATTCTAGGCGGTATTTGCCACAACGACAAAGAATGGTTCTTGGAACAAGTGGGAAGCAAAAATGTGAGAACACTTAATGGGTGACATACAAGAACATGTGACTGACGGATCATTGATATATATTAATTTCTAATGCAGTTATAAGAACTTGAGAAAGCTGGTTTCCATCACATTATGGTGAACCTTAAGTATAACTTTGTCAATCCTAATACTCGAATTCATTCTCAGACAGTAGACCGCTTTTCGGGATCACCACAATGGTGGACGAGGTATGGCTTGCCATTATCTGAAGTTCTATAACACAGAGTTCATATTTAGGACCAAGTAGGATATTATAATGTGTTTGGGGCATTATTATCACCAACTGCTGAACTATGGCCACCTGAAAAAGTTTTTAAATAATGAAATGTTCAGTACGTATGTTATTTTTTTAAGAAACTGCTCATAAAATTATATATTATAACAAATTAGACATTTAAAAATTTATGATTTTGTTTGAAAATAATAAGCATAATCAGTATTTTATAATGAAAAACCATATATTGACAAAATATAACTGTGAAAAATCAATTAAACCATTAACCGCTTGTTTTTTGAAGATGTGCATATGGGTAACTATTTGTTTCTCATCATTGCATTAATCTATCGAAAACAACTGCAGAAATATATGCGTCAAAGCCACTGCAGAAGACAAGTGCATGACAAGTTTCTGCCTGAGTTTTAAAAGCATCCAGGATTCTTAAATACGACTGAATTCATATATTGTAAATCAGCTTCGCCGCCAAATGCATCAGCCCTAATACAAAGTATTTTCACAATGGTGAAAATAGTTGGTCTTCAAAATGTCAATAATAATTTTCAACACTAAAAGAATATTTAATTTCAAATGTGAATTTTAAATATTCATTTAGTGATTTATATGAACACATAAAATCCAAGAAAGAATTTCTAAGGTAAATATTACCTAATGAAAAATATGCAAGAGTTAAATAACAGCAAGAATCTCAACAATTCACATCATCTTCAGAGTAGAAAGGCTGTAAAAAGTAGAGTCTACTTTCCAATATCTTGTAGTCAGTTCTGCATAATTTTATTTTATTTCTTCATGTCAACTTTCACCTGTCATGCACGTTTGTACAGCAAACATGTACTTGACTTTTGAATCAAAGAAATTCATTTTTTATAGTGTCCATAACATGAGTATCTGCAAAAAATTTTCGGAAATGAACAGCAACAAGGAAAAATTCTCTAATTTCAGGACAAAAACTTCCTCAAAATTAATTATACAGGAAGTGCTATATTTCCTTTTGTGAATAAGTTTCATCAGTTTCCATAATTTTGTTGCATCCACCGGTTTCAGATTTAGTATAAGGTAGTAAGGACTTGGTATATACATCTCTTATGTAATTATTCCAATCAACAGCTCTGTTGTGTTTTAGTTTAAATAGGCTCTGATTTGCAAAACCCAATAGAGATTAACTCCCAGCACTATAAGTAAATGAATCATAAGCCAATAACAAAATAATTGTGTGATAACAATAAACCAAGTTTGCATTTAGAACATCTTTCTAGGGCAGGCTCTGTGGGTCTCTGTAAATTCTGCTGCCCAGAACTCAAATTTCTAAAAATTTTATTATTTTTAGATTCTGCTACACAGTTTATTCTTTAAATTCTAAAAATTTCCCCATTCCTCAATTCTGCTGCATGTTACTCCTCTAAATATTAACAATTATGCTGCTGCAAAATTCTGCCAACCGGCTGAACTGCACAACTCCGGTACCAGCCCTGCATCTTTTTCTTCCCAGAATGAACAAAGGTTGCACAGCCTTTTTGGCTTCAAGTCATATTTTATTTTCATGAGGTGGTTATTCACACATAGTCTGTCTTTGTGATGAATATCTCTTTTTTGAAGAAATAGAATAGTTTCCTTTTTAACTCTTGGCAAATCCTAAGGCACTGCAATGGAAATTAAGATAAAGAAAAAGTAAAAACTGAAATTATATGTAAAACCATACACAAGCAATGGTTATAAAGACAATTCTTATCAAGAAAGTAAAAAAAAAAAAAAAAAACTACCGACACATAGCACAAAAAAATACACCTCCTCCCCCCCCTCAAAAAAAGTACTATGGCTTTAATGAAAAAGAACCCAAATAATTAAATTAAACTCAGTAACTAAGAAATTTCCATAAAAGATAGTTTCACATACTTAAAAAATTTAATTTAGTACAAAAAGTTATTTTTACTGAAGCATTATTACCATCAAGAAGCCAACTCTGTGAAGAGAAAGTACTACTAAGTAATTCCAAAATAAGGCTTGTAACAAGTTCATCAGGCACAAGTTGACCTTTTTCAATATACTGTTTAGCAATTATGCCTTTTTCTGCAATAAAAGAAACATATTTTTCATTATTTCTGGAAAATTTTCAAAAAAAGCATACTAATACTGAAACCCGTTTCTTCCACTTTTAATGTTCTTTAAAGAGCTTATTATCTTTTAGATTTACAGACAATTTTTTCAGCCAGTAGCACGACCAAATTAACACAAAGGTAAATGGAACAGCAGCAATAGGTCTTTAAATCTTTCTACAATACTTTCAAATGTTTTTCAGTTTCAGGCTTTAAAAATATTAAATTGCTAGCAGGAATAACAAAATTTTAAATTTAATTTTTTTAAAAATATTCTTCTTGAAAAATCAGATGCTCTACTAGTACTACTGTTGTATGCTCCCATTGGTGATTGACATCAGTAAGCAAAGTCTTGATACATTGATCTGTACACTAATGCTAATTTACATAGCCAATCTCTGCTGCTATGTGATCACCACATTTGAAGCTCATGATGTCATATAAATATGAAAGTCTTATATATAAGACTGATGCGTCAAGCATCAAAAAGTTGAAGTCAACTCATACGGTCTGTGGCCATCCGGCGAATGCCGCCTCTGAAAACTCACTCCCGATTGGTTAACGCTTTACGCACGAACGTGTGACCATGTTGGTGTGAATGCTGCTTTAGCCAGTGATCAGTCATGGATTAGGGTGCAATAAAACAGAAATTACCTGTGCAATACAGCAATTTGCACAAGTAAACTATTAAGTAGTTTATTTTATTTTTATTATATTACTATAATAACACTGTACATTCTTTCAATGAACAGTACATTTTTTAAATATGTATGAATAGTCACAACAGGAACTAGCATATAACTTATGTTTAATGTTTCTTTATTTAAATTCTAGCCTAGCCATACTGAACCAACTGTTAAATTATTTAAATAGCACTACTAATTTCATCACTTTTCTATTTTATTATTTCTTTTCCACAATGATTTATTAGTTCTTTGCATTTTTAATAAAGTTTATTTCTAAATTATGGCATAGACACACAAATAACTCACACATGAACTCTGAAAAATGCAAATCCCCCCTTCCCCACCAGATGATAAGTTTTAATCTTTAACAAATCACACTCAAAAAATAGAAACTAAAAATCCATAACCTTTTATAAATCCAAATCTGCAAAAACTAAATCAATTAATATAAATGTAAATAAAAAATAAATAATATTCTTGCCTAGCAATATTGCACAATATCAACTGAATTAATTCATAAGTAAAGTATTCTTAAACATATTACAATACAACAGTAAATCATTATCTTGGGACATCCAGAGAGTTCTGAAGTTTTTAAAGTGAAGCATGCTTTCTTCTAATTATTTTGTAACTGCTGAAAAGAAGTGACTAATCAAAGCAGATACTGAATTATGATTTTTTTTTCTGCTCATGTCACGTAATTTTAGTGCAAGTTTTCGCATAATTTTTGTTTTAGAGTAGTGCTAAGAATGGAGAGCCGAAAAGTTCATTTTTGTCATACTATACTCTTTTATTAAGAGAGGAAACTATGATACGCTATTTTCAAAATCTGTCTTGTATATGGGAAATGAGCTGTTTCTGATACCACAAATCAAAGGTAGTTTGAGAAGTTAAAGCATGGAAATTTCAGCCTTGAAGATGATGCCTACTCAGGCAATCATCCTCTACAGTCAAGAACCCAGAGACAGATTTAGACTTGATAAGACCCTAAGATATTTGAGATATGGGAACTTTATAAGTCTGTTATAATATATTTTAATATAATTTTTGGAGGCCTCCAAAAAAGTGAGGGCCCTAAGCTATAGCTCGTGCAGCTTACACGTAAATCCGGCCCTGCAAGAACTATCACTAAAATACATACAGTTCAGAAATCATCAGATAAACTAATGATTCCAAAAAGCTCAGATCATGATCATTTGAAGAAAACTGTTGTATGGGTACTCCATACTTAGCAGTGACATGAACATGACATAAACACAGAAGAATGTGATTGCTCTACTCTTTGCTAAAAAGAAAGATTGGAGTAAACTTAAGGGTGCCCCTTGGATTATTACTAAGTTGTTATTTCATTTATTGCCAAGTTGTTGTTTCATTTATGGTAACCTGAGTAGTTGAATGCTATAGAAATCCTATTATGAGATAACTGGTTGCATGACTGCAGTGAATTTGAACAAAGGGAAAAGATTTGGAAAGGCTAGTTTGTGTGTTAAATGTTGGTTAAGTCAAGGGAGTGTGCAATGCCTATTTTGTGCAAGTCTATGATTTTTTTAAGCGAAAATCGGTCGATGTGTACATGGATACCAAGTGTGTGCAATTCTTTGACTTGTTATTTTGGATTTGTGCAACGCCAATTTTCGCCAAGGAGCATCCATAAATATATTTTTAGCAAAAGAAATAAAGAAACTACTTTTTTAAACAGCTTATTACTGAAGATGAGAAGTGAATACTATACAATAATATTACGCGAAAAAGAACATGCCATAAGCCAAGAGAACCTCCTTTAGTAACATTGAAAGATGGGCTATATACAAAAAAAAAAAAAAAAAAAAATATATATATATATATATATAGTGCTTGTGCAGTGCGAGACTACAGCTGTGATAAAATCAGACAAAAAATTTGGAAAAATACTTATTGCCAAGTAGCAATTTCTAAAGCAGAAATCGAAGCAAAGCATCAAGAAATGATCACTCATTGAAGTGCTGCTTTTAACCACTGGATAATTATTAACGCATATGAGAAAGAGAAGCAAATAAATTAAGAAGTAATATATATACATATATTAAGAAATTCTGAAATATTATAATACTTGATTCTTTTAATTCAAACCATCATGGGTTAGAAATATGAAAGATTGGTAAAAGAAAATGCATAGCTTCCATATTTTATAGTGTATTAAAACAATTTTAAAGAAACAATTAAGTTTCAGCGAAATCTTTTTACAAACATTTTTAAGAGATTTAGAAATACCCTTCCCAATACATTCCAACTGATTTTAACGTCTAACAAGGTTGAAAAATTAAGTTTTATATAACATGACATGAACACAAAATTTGCAAAGGAATGCTATCTGAATATACGAACTGCGATTAAAACAAAAGCCAACTCAAAAAAATTCCTTGATATTCACATTTATAATACAAAATTTTACAAGAAACATCACACTGACAGTATGAAAATTACTCTTCTGAAAACTTGGGCCTTTGAGGATCTGCTTAATTTTTGACATACGACGAATACATTCTCACAACTGTTTAATACTAAATTACTAATAAATCATGACATAAAATGACATTCATTCAAAATAAATAAATTTCCTCATACTAGTTCCTTTTGAAATTTGTTCCCGTAATGCATCACCGCTGGCTAAATATGGTAAACTGAATTCACGAACAATTCGAGATGAAATTGTCCCTTTGCCGGATCCTGGTGGACCCATTATAACAGCACGGAAAAATCTAGCCATTTAAATAACAGATCAGTAAAAGCTCAGTGTGCACAAATATATTATCACAGCATGTACCCCTAGCCCGACTTCACGCGTCAAGTATTTGGAAGACAAACGGGAAACATAACAAACGGTTGCCAAACCACTTGTTGCTCTACAATCGGAATTTTGTTTAAAGAAGGCTTATCAGAAACAAAAGTTTAGAACTCGAGATCATGATTCATGAAATAGTCTACGGCAGTCATGCCTATTTCTAATTTCTGCATAAGAGTCTTAGCTTTTTGGAAATTTCCGAAGAAAGCTTTACCTTTTGCGAACTGCAATTTAAGCCAGGCGGTTTCATTTATTTTTTTTGTAGTCAGACAGACAGACAGACAAAGTAGACAGATGTCTTGTTTTGCACTCACTCCAAGCAGAATTTGTAGTTTTTGACAACAACAGTTTTCAGTCATTCAACAGTTTTCTCCAGTTTTCATTTCCTGGGACGGTGGGGAATTCTTCCTTATTGTAATTAAACTTTTAATTGTTTTGGGTTGAATATTGTCTGTTCTAAGATTTTTTTTTTTTTGGGGGGGGGGGTATTTCTTGCAACATTTGTAATAAGAAGCATGATTCTCGCCACGGAGGGCACAAGGAGCTGGTAGTTCATCCCTGTTCCTTGTACAGACTTAAGTTACTTCTGCTTCTGCATATTATAAGTATCTTTCTGTATTGTAGCAGGTCGAACCAGAGCTTAAATTGCGCCAGAGCCCAATGGAGCCCGGTTCCGGCACTTCTCAACTTTTGAGGTAATATGTGATTCTAGCAGAAGCGCACCGGAGCTCTAAATAGAAGGACTGCCGCACTTTTTGTATGTAAATGAAATACTGTTTCAGCGTGCAAATTTTATTTTAAAAATAAACATGCGTTAAAAATCGATTATAAATTCGAATGCATATAGGCTTATTCTCCGGGTAGTGCAATGAATTTATAAGTTTGAGTAAAATGTTTTGTTCGCAAAAGTAATAAAAGTGATTATCTTAGTCGTGCATATCCAGCGCTAGTGAACTCTCACTGCAAAGCTGCTGTAGACTTGAACTATGTAACCAAATATAGGGACAAAAGTTGCCAATTGCACAGACCTTACATTTTCTTGCATGTTGTTATTGGATCGTATTCGGGAGAAAGTTTTTTTTTTTATCCAGTCGCAATACGCTTGATAGCTAGAGTTATATGCGTAGGATATCGAGGTCAGAGAGCTTAGGGCTCTTCTCTCTTTGTTTACGAAGCTACAGCTCTCCATTAAAATTTCTTTCCTTACTCCCATATTGTTTCTAGCATTCTCTCTATTTTCATTAGTGACGCTTTAATCATTTTATATTTCACTACTGATTTTCTGGACAAAGAATGTTTTATATATCTCTCATCTCTTGAAATAGTGCGTGAGTAGATGAAGCCGATATTTTATTTAACTATTTATTATTCTTTTATTTAACTATTTGTCATGCATTTAATAGTTTATTAAATTTTTATTTATATAGTTATATTTTACTGAAATTTAATTTTCATAAAACATAACGTATTATTAATTTAATTATTAATCATTTTATTTTTAATTATTTATTTTATTTACTTAATTTTCCCTTCTTCCTGACAATCTTCCATAGAGCTCCGGCACTTCTGATTTTAGAAATTAAGCCCTGGGTCGAACGAGTGCGGCCGTAGCGCTGGCATTTGTGGCATAGCACTGGAGCCGCTGCGGTTTTGTGTGGTTTAGCATAAACATCCAGTACACTACGAAAAAAAAAAAAGCGGGAGGGAGCAGCTCTATATCTTCCGTTCTACTGGGCCGATTGACACAATTCAAATTGCGTTTTTCATGTCTCGAAAGCTCGACTTAGGACATATGTTAGATTTGGTGTCCAGACAAAAGCCCACTGAACGAAAGCGCACGAGACAAAAGCCCACACTGACAGAAACCCACACCGATATATATGCTACGTTAAAATTAATATATTTTTTTTCTTTTTTCTTCAGCTTCACAAAGCAGATTCATGAATAAAGATAAAATAAAAACTAAATTAAATTAATAACAAACAATTGAACAATAAATTTAAGTAGCAGAACACATTTCATTTTGGGCTCCGGCTGAATTAAAATCCTATAGGTATACAGAACAAAGAGTCAATCAAAATAATATAATTAAAAACATATACATGTATGGTAACTTTGTTTTTCTATTTACGCGACAAATGGAAGTGCCTTCGTATAAGTTCGTCAAAGCGAGGTGAAAGGGAATACTGGCCACACTGCTTCTTTTAATTCTACAAAATTATAAGGAGTATAAAATGTATTTTAATTTTCATCATATACAGAGAATAATTTATGAATAATTTAACACTGCAGAGAATTTTGCATATAATGAATTTAATATGGAGAATTAAAGCCGAACTTTCATTTCAACGAAAAAAATAAAAGTACCGTATTCTATTATGATTAAGAAAGCAATTGTGTGCGCTATCACAAATACTAATTAATACCACAAATACTAATTAATTAATTAATGGTGAATTAAAAGCACGTTTTCAAATAATCTAGTTAAATTTTGACAACTTGGATTTTACATAAATTAATTTCATTCCCACTTGAAATTTCATTTTTAATCATAATAATTATTACTCGTAAGATTTTTCAGGAAGTCATAGCTATTTTGGATTTCCTGAAAATGTGTGCTGTTTTTAAGTGGGCATTCGTCTTGTGGGCTTCTGTCAAGCAGTTTTCTATCTGGCCGCTGGTTATTCAAGCGGAAAACCATTGCGTTCCTTTTCTTTTGCCCCTAGCTGTGTGAAAAAGCAGTTAAAGAGAGGTGAGCCTTGCTTAATTACTTTATCCCCTATCGAACCTGGGGTGCCAAAGAATGGCCTCAGGCTTCTGAGGGGGAGACAGATGAGCAATTAAAGGTTGGTCAGGAATAAATTAAAGAGGATTTTAAATGTTTTTTGTTAGTTACTAGAAAATAACAATATCTGAAATTCCGCTTATAACTGAAGTTAACCCTTTTCTTGCATTTCTTTAGTCTAGTTCTTGAATAACTTTTTATCTAAGGATTTAGTTAGAATTTCAATTATTTAAAAAATTTCAATAACTGAAAAACGAAAGGAATTAAATATTTCTTTACCCATTTTTATAGGGATAATTCACTGTTTTTGCAGTAAAGCTGCAGAGTGCAAAAATATGCTAGTTCCTGATTCGATAGTGTCTCTAAAAATTTCTTGATGAACTAATTAAACATGTCTGTTATATCGAAGCAAGGCCATTGTTTATAAGTAAAACTACTGAACTATTTCTAAAAAAACATATTAAAATTTACGTAAAAGTTTTATTTTTCATTTTAACTTCCATACGGTTGAAAACGCAACCATATGAAAGTTAAAATGAAAAATCTGAAACCATATAAAAGTTAAACTATTCGAATAATTTTAATAACGAAGGTTTCTGAACTCTAGAACAAGAAGATTTAAGAACCATGAGCCCGGTGTTGTAAGAAAAGTAATCTTGCACATTAAAAATAATTTTTATTTTAATAAAAAATATTATACTACTCGATTAACTTTAAACGCTTAAAAACAGTTCATTTTAATTTACCGTAATATTTTATATACAAAAACTTTCAATGAAGCACATTTAAACAGCATATAGAAATTGAATTTCACTGGAACACTTCCTTTCCGGGTTTTATGCTGTTATTACATGTTGAACATTATTTTGCCTAGATTAAGAAAAAGAAACACATTGTAAGGATCTTAAGTTTTACTAACGTTTATTTTATTTTAAATCTTTACTATCACTTCTTATTTTCTACTTCCGGCCAGAATTATAAGCGTTAAGGATTTTATGCAAAGTTTGTCTGGCGAACGCCAAGTATTTAAGTGTGGCCTTTTTGCCAAGCGAAAGAGAGGAAGCAGTGAGTTCGAAGCAGGCCGCTTACCTTAGAAGTTACGCAGTTGCTACTTTGCCTTCCAGGCCAGAGGTTTTAATCCTCTTGATAAATTAAACGTATTGTAGTGTTCACAGTCTCTGTGCTACATACGCTTCCTGTTATTATAAGGCCAATCTTCCACGTGTATTATTCTAAAGTTAAATTAGAGTTTAGTTTTATTTTTGATATCTTTTACGTTAGACCCCGAGTGGAGGGTCATTGTATTCCGAAGTACGGAAGTCATTGTATATAAAGAAAAAATAAAGGGTTTTGTATACCCTTCGTCTGTATCCTGTCTACTTACTACAATTAGTGAACATAGCTTTAGTAAGCTCTCTGTTCCGAGTCAGGTCATTGTATGTTTCCGAAGAAGGTTAGAAGAAACATTGAACCTGATAGTGGCGCCCGACGAAGAATAACCATGGCCGAGTTTCAAGAAGAACCTGTGCTGCCTGCAGAAACGGCTCAGAATCCAGAAATGCCAGCTGCCGCCCTGGAAGGATTTGGGTACATCGTCCAGACCATGCGCGCTTCGATGAAACCAGAAGCAACATTTAATGGAAACTCACCGGTAACCAGTTTTTTGGAAAAATTGGATGACCACTTCATGCTCTACCCCGTGCACGAGTTTCAAAAAGTTACCTTAGCTACCAGCGCTTTGAGGGGCCAAGCGCTTAACTGGTTCAAATGTATCGGCAGAAGTCTCTTGGGTCAAGCAGGAAGTCCCACCTATACTTACGAAAATTTCAAGACTGCCCTACTAAAAGCCTTCCCTGTTGTAAGGGATCGTGCGAAATTAGAAACGGAACTTTTCAGTATATATCAACAAAGAATCGAAAACCTCTCGAGCTTTATTTTAAGAAAAATTCACGTTTTCAAGCTCTTGTATGGAAACCGTCCGGATCCTGAAATAATTCAAGTGATTTTGCCGAGGTTACTACCCCAAGTGCAAGACTTTATTGAATTAAGAAATCCGACTACACTGGAAAAGTTATTTGAGCTAGCAATCCAGTTTGAAAGTAGAAGAACGGCGGACGTCGAAAGAAGACGCCAATATCAACAGCGAAACCAATTTGGTACGCCAAGACTACAGCAAACTCAAGCATACGGCTACGGAAAAAAAGCGAATCAGTGGGCAAGGAAACCCGAGCATTCAAAAACAGCCGGCGAACGTCGACAGTTCAATAGCAACCCAGGAAAAAAGTCTCAAGGCCAGGGGAAAAAGAAG